TATATATATATATATATATATATATATATCGGGTGTATATGGCGGTTGGGGTGTATAGGGAGGTTGGCGCGTATATCCAGCTTCAGGTGTACATGCAGCTTCAGGTGTGTACATGCAGCTTCAGGTGTACATGCAGCTTCAGGTGTACACGCAAGTTGGGCTGTACATGCAGGTTGGGGTGTACAGGGAGGTTGGGGTGTACAGGGAGGTTGGGGTGTACAGGGAGGTTGGGGTGTATATTGAGGTTGGGGTGTATATTGAGGTTTGACCTTCAGGCCCATTTTGCATTAATTGCATTTTTCTTTTGATTGTAATCTGCTGCAACAGCAGCAGCAACAAGTGCAGCAAATGCGAGCAGCAAAGAAGAGAACGGGAAGGAAGAAGACAGCGTATCAAACCCCTGAATTAAAAACAAACAACCAAAGAGACAAGACAAAAGGAGACACTATAAAGGCTTTAAAAACAAATAAAAGAGATATAAAAGGAGACAGTAGGGAGACGATCAGGGCTCCAACAACTAATTAAAAAGGAGACATCAAATAAATAAATAAAGATGGAGACAAAAGGAGACAGAAATAAATAAAGAGTTAAAACAAAAAAACAGAGAGACAGAGAAGTAAAGAGACGCCTCACAAGCCCTAAACCCTAAACCCTAAACCCTAAACCCTAAACCCTAAGCAAATAAATGAAACAAACATACACTTGCAGGCTGAACAGGAGAATAAAGAAGATCTAAACCAAATGCAAACACCAAAGAAGTCGACTCCCTCTCCGATGGATGCGCAAGGAGACCCCGCACTTGAGACACCTGAACACCAAACCCTAAACCCTAAACCCTAAACCCTAAACCCTAAGCCCTAAACCCTAAACCATAAACTCTTTCGTGAGCCGTCTTCGGATACTCAAACCCTAAAAGCTGTTACGCTGAATAGACGAGCGACAAGGAGAGACGGAAAGCTCTAAACCCTCACAAGCTCTAAACCCTCACAAGCCCTAAACCCTAAACCCTAAACCCTGGACAAGTTGCGTGTACACCCCGCCATTTTCTTTTAAATTACCTTCCTTCCGTAGTAGAGACAGTCTACTGGGTTTAGAGGAAGCAAAGGGGTGTACATGGGGATATTATCAGGGGCTGCTGCTGCAGCTGTTGCAGCAGCAGCCTCAGGCGCTGCGGCTCCTGCTGCTGCTGCTGCTGCTGCTGCTGCTGCAGGAGGCAGCGGACGCTTCGCGTTCGCTAAGCGGGTAGACAGCAGGTGAATCTGCTGCGTGCTGCTGCTTGCCTGAGGGATGAAGCAGCAGCAGCGGCAGCAGCAGCAACAGCAGCAGGAGCAGCAGCAGCAGCAGCAGCAACAGCATCAAAGTATGGGGTTGAAAGGGCTTCAAGAAACACCAAGCGTTTTCTGGAGGACAGAAGGGTGTGCTTATCCCTAAACCCTAAACCCTAAACCCTAAACCCTAAACCCTAAACCCTAAGCCCTAAGCCCTAAACCCTAATAAGGGTGCTCACAAGAACCAAAGCCCTCGGGGTGATGCCCTGCGCTGTTGCTGTAAGTACAGCTGCAGATACACTCCAAGCAGATATATAACTTCTACTGTCTCCTAAAGGCCGCCCTAACCCAAACCCTGATTTGTGAGGGCTGCGGCGAGCAGAGGGGAATATTAACCCCAAAGGACCTGCACACAAACCCTAATAAACCCTAAACCCTAAACCCTAAACCCTAAACCCTAAACCCTGCGCACAAACCCTAAAAAACCCTAATAAACACGAAACACCAAACCCTAAACCCTAAACCCTGCGCACAAACCCTAAAAAACCCTAATAAACACGAAACCCTAAACCCTAAACCCTGCGCACAAACACTAATAAACCCTAATAAACCCTAAACCCTAAACCCTGCGCACAAACACTAATAAACCCTAAACCCTAAATACTGCGCACAAACCCTAATAAATCCTAACAAACCCTAAACCCTAAACCATTAACACCCAACCACAAAAGCCATATTGCAAACCCTAAACCCTAAAGCCTCCAACAAAACCGGACACTATGATCGCTCCAGTCTGCTAGGGCTACAACTCGTAGGGTTTAGGGTTTAGGGTTTAGGGTTTACCTGGGTCCGGCCTGTCTTCAGTCAGAGTAACAACCAACAACTCAAACCGCGCAGCGAAGATATTCCAGAAGTGTACATACACCGAGTCCTCGCACACCTGCACCAAACCCCAAACCCTAAACCCTAAACCCTAAACCCTAAACCCTAAACCCTAGGCGGAGTTTAGCCTCTACGCCGGCGGTACTGTCCCCTAAACCCCAGCACCCCTTGAGCAGGCACTCAGAGACCCACTCCCGCACAAGCCTAAACCCTAAACCCTACATTTCAAACCTTAAACCCTAAACCCTAAACCCTAAACCCTAAACCCTAGCGCGTACAGCAACAAGGAGGGGCTTCGAGGCCCCTGAAGGAAGAACCTGCTGATGTGCGATTTCCCCAGAGACTGAATTAAGCAGGTGCAGCATTAAAGCGCCTCCTAAACCCTCCTGCAGCAAATCAAACCCCAAACCCTAAACCCTAAACCCTAAACCCACCTCGCTGCGAGGTCAAAGGAGCGCTAGCCCCTGAGAAGTAATTGGCGCTAAAACACCTAAACCCTAAACCCTAAACCCTCCGAAAAGGGTGGGGGGTATTCAAATTCTCAAGCCAGGTACTCAACTGCGCCTCAAACCCTAAACCCTAAACCCTAAACCCTACTTACGTCAGCAGTAACAACAGCAACAAGGTTTGGGTCGATGTGTTTATACCCCACAGAGACATCCGCATGCACAAAGACAGGCACCTGGCGAAGAGAGCGGTGCATGGCGTTAGCCGTTGCTGCGCGCAAACCCTAAACCCTAAACCCTAAACCCTAAACCCTAGAGCATTCTATTCAGCAAAGGCACCCAACAGCAACGCCTCTCCCGAGGGTTTACGCTCGCTCCTTCTATCGTTTAGGGTTTAGGGTCAGCGAGTTAAGGCGCTGGACTCCGGCTGAGGGTTTGTACGCCGATGTTTAGGGTTCAGGGTTTAGGGTTTAGGGTTTAGAAAGTACTAAGAATAATTTGCTTCTGAGCTGCGAAGTCAAGAGCCCAAGTCGGCGCTGCCCTCATCTTCACAGATCCCCCTGCACATAAGCCAACCCTAAACCCTAAACCCTAAACCCTAAACCCTAAACCCTAAATTCAGAATGAAGCCTACAGCCAGTGCATCTACGTATATTTAAAAACGCGAGGCATATCGGTCCAGCTGGCGATTGACAGCGTAAACCCTAAACGCTAAACCCTAAACCCTAAACCCGCATCCCTAAACCCTAAACCCTAAACCCTAAACCCTCACCCTTCAACGTCTCGAAAGGTACAACAGAAAAACCCTCAATTAAGCCGCTGCAGTCATCAGTGATATAAAAAGAAAGTCGCGAAGAAAGCAGATGGGCCAGCGGGAGGGGAATCTGCAACAAACAAACCCTAAACCCTAAACCCTAAACCCTAAACCCTTACTCCTTAACCGTGATCTCTAAAAGCAGAAAGATGCTGACCTCGTCCGTCACTGCAGCAGAAGGCGCGATCTGGTGCTGCGGCTCTGCGAGATACAGCAGGAGCTGCTGCTGCTGCTGCTGCTGCTGCGGCTTCTGTTTCCCCAGCAGCACGACGGCGCTGCTGCTGTGCTGCAGCCGCTGCAGCAGCAAATCTGGTGTTTGTTCTTTTGCTCCAGCAGCAGCTGCTGCTGTTGCTGCTGCATCTTGTAGCTCCAGCTGCTGCAGCGGGAGAACTGCAGCAGCAGCAAACGGCACCCGCTGCTGCTGCTGCACTTCCCCTCTGCCGAGATCAATCCACAGCAGCTCTGTCTCCTGCAGCAGCAGCAGCAGCAAAAGGAGACAGACAGCAGACGATAAAGAAGCAGCTTGGGGCATAGGGGGAGGACCGGGTGCAGCAGGGAGACAACACACGCAGCAGCAGCAACTGCAGCAAAGCCAGCACCCTCAGCAGCAGCAGCAGCAGCCGCAGCAGTACCAGCGACAGTGAGTTCGCGAGCAACAGCAGCAGCAGCAGCAGCAGCAAAGTGATTACCTGTGTCTTTGGGTTGACGAGAGCAGCAAAGACCGTCGCCTTGTGCGGCCCCACAAGCTCAAGAGATATCAGCTGCCAATCGCATGCCCCCTGCTGCTGCTGCTGCTGCTGCTGCTGCTGAGCTGCGTCTCTGCTGCAGCTGTCGCCGGAGGGGCCCCAGTTAGCCTTGCCGTTTGCTGCTGCGCGAGCAGCTAGATGGCTGCTGCTTGTCTGCAGCTGATTTAAACAGCAGCAAGTCGTGCTGCTGCTGCTGCTGCTCTTGCTGCTGCTGCTGCTGCTGCTGCTTGGAAGTTGCAGCTGCCACAGCAGCAAACCCGTGGCTGCGTGCAGCCCATACACCTGAGCATCTCGCCCACGCTCAAACCCTAAACCCTAAACCCTGAACGCAACGGTCCGCTCACTGCTGCGCAGAGCCTAGGCCCCGACCCCTAAACCCTAAACCCTAAACCCTAAACCCTTGGCTTGTATACCTTATTGTTGCAGTTCGCAGCAACGGTAATATGCCTCCAGCCGAATGGCTGCGCTTTGTTCTTCAAATGCATCTCTGCTGCGAGCTGAAGCTGCTGCTGCTGCTCCTCCGCTCCTTGCTGCTGCTGCTGCTGCTGTTGCTGCTGCTGCAGCCCAAGAGCTGCTAACTTAGATGCAGCAGACAGCCTAAAGTTGAAGAGAGGAGACAAGCTCGCGCGACTTGCAGCTGAGCACACAAAACCTAAACCCTAAACCCTAAACCCTAAACTCTAAACCCTAAACCCTAAACCCTAGGTAGCAGAGCGCGGAGCGAAGCGAAACTGATAGGGAAACCCTAAACCCTAAACCCTAAACCCGAAAGCTGAACCCTAACCCATAACCCCTAAACCGTTAACTGAACCGTAAACCCTAAACCCTATACCCTAAACCCTAAACTGCTGACCTGCAACTTCAGGGGGGGTTTCCTGACGCCCAAGCAGTGAAGCAGCAAACCCTAAACCCTTGGATACGAGAGCAGCAGCAACATCTGCAGCAGCGCCGCCGACAGCAGTAGCAATCGAAACTGCTGTTGCTACAGTTGTTTCTGCTGCTGTTGCTGCTGCTGCTGCTGCAGCGTGCATGAGGCCCCGCGATGCTGCTGCTGCTGCTGCTGCAGCATCACTCTCTTCTTCTGCAGCAGCACAAACCGAGACAACCCAACTCTTTTACACCTCAAACCCCTCAACTCCTCCTACCCACAACCAAGGGCTTAGGGTTTAGGGTTTAGGGTTTAGGGTTTAGGGCTTAGGGCTTGCCGTTCTCTTGCACTGAAGGTAAAGCCCCAACAGCAGCAGTAGTCAGCAAGCTCAAACCCTCTTCTCGCAGCCACGAGACGCCTAAACCCTTCTGCAGCAGCAGCAGCGAGAAATCCGACAGCAGCAGCAGCAGCTGCGGCTGCTGCTGCTGCTGCTGCTGCTGTTGCTGCTGTTCTGCTGCAGCAACAAACGCCAACGCCGCAGCTACACTAGGGCCCTGAGGAGACACCCCAGCAGCTCTCCATGCTGCTGCTGCTGCTGCTGCTGTAGGCAGCTCCTCCCTGACAAAAACAGCAAACAAAAAGGCTGCTGCTGCTGCTGCTGCTGCTGCTGCTGGTTTGCCGCTGCTGTTGCTGCTGCTGGTGTTGCTGCTCTTTTGCTGCTGCCTCTGCTGCTGCTGTTTTGCTGCTGCTGCCTATACCCTGCTGCGTGAAGCAGCAACGCCGACGGCCCTCAACCCTAAACCCCTAAGTGTAGGACCTCGAGCTAAACCCTAAACCCTAAACCCTAAACCCTTACTTAATGAAGGCGGTCTCCTCAAGGGTTTGCAAGTTCAGCAGTTTAGAATTGACTTCTCCCCCAGAAACCCTCACCGCAACCAAATGCCTGCGGGGAGTCACAAACAACGTTTTAGGGTTTAGGGTTTAGGGTTTAGGGTTTAGGGTTTCAAACGAAGTAGGGTTATAGCTGTCGCTGATATCCCCGGAATGCTGCTGCTCCTACTGCTGCTGCTTCTGGTGCTTCTGCTGGTGCTGCTGCTGCCTCTGCTGCTGCTCCTTCTGCTGCTGCTGCGGCTGTTGCAGCAGCAGCAAAGCCGTGCTGGTGAGGTATCTATGTTCCGAGCGGAATGAGGGTTTAGGGTTTAAGGCGTAGGGTGTAGAGTTTAGGGTTTAGGGTTTAGGGTTTAGACCTACTGATATGGTTTCTCTCGCTCGAGAGAGTGTAAAGGAGTCACTGTCCAGTCTTCACCGGACAAACCCTAAACACAAACCCTAAACCCTAAACCCTAAACCCTAAACCCTAGACCTCAGACCCGCGTTGCTTTTATGCGGGCGTCACTAAACCCTAAACCCTAAACCCTAAGCATAAAGACCCTGAAACAATGCATCCTAAACCCTAAACCCCAAACCCTAATTAGACAATGCATCCTAAACCCTAAACCCTAAACCCTAAACCCTAATTAGAGGAGACCTACCTTAATTTCCTTGTGTGTAAACCCTAAACCCTCTTTGAACTCCCAAACATTAAACCCTACGAGTGCTGTACATCCGCCTAGAGGTAAGAAGCTAGGGTTTAAGGTTTTAGGGTTTAGGGTTTTAGGGTTTAGGGTTTGCAGCTCCGAAACCCTGCCCTCCCCAGACAACCGCAGCAAATGTAAATGCTGCAGAGACAAACAAACAACAAGTGAGGAGACAGACACTGCAGCAGCAGCTGCTGCTGCTGCTGCAGCAACGGTTGCAGCAACAGCAGCAACAACAATAGCAGCGGCAGCAGCAACAGCAGCAATAGATGCAAGGGAAATTGCTGCAGCAGCAATTGCTGCAGCAGCAGTTGCAGCAGCAGCAGCAGCAGTTGCAGCAGCAGCAGTTGCAGCAGTAGCAGCAGCAGCAGCGTGCTTTGCTTCACCGGTGAAGATGCAATGAAGCATAGAAGTAAATAAACGCAGGCAGAGATTAGCTAAACCCTACGAAACCCTAAACCCTAAACCCTAAACCCTAAACCCTCTCTCACGGATTCATTCTTCAGGGCGAAACAATTTCCTTCAAGGGGTATAATGGAAACAGATTCGGAAGGGCCGAGTGCTGCTTGCTGCTGCTGCTGCTTCTGTTGCTGCTGCTGCTGCTGCTGCTGCTGCTGCTGCCCGTTCCATGCGTGGTAGCAGCTGCTGCTGAGTTTGCCGCCTTGCGTTTGCTGCTGCAACAAACAGAAAGCAGCCTGCTGCTGCTGCTCCCCTTCGCTATCCAGCTGTACAGACACAAGACCAAGGGTTGTGCTGCTGCTGCTGTTGCTGCTGTTGCCGTTGCTGCTGCTGCTGCTGCTGCTGCTGCTGCTGCTGAGGGGCTGCGTCCACAAGACACGCCCTGACAAGGCGTCCCTCGTCTCCAGGCCCCGAGGTGTAACCCCAGCAACAAACACTGCTTCTGCTGCTGCTGCTGCTGCTGCTGCTGCTGCATCTGGTGTGGGTCCCGAAGCAGCAGCAGCAAAGCTGCTGATGTCTACGCCCGCCTTCCACAGCAGCACACCGTCTCTGAGGTCAATTGCATGCAGAGTTCCCCTTTTTGCTGCTGCTGCTGCTGCTGTTGCTGCTGCTTCTGTTGCTTCTGGTGGTGGTGCTGCTGCTGCAGACAAAGGGTGATTTACATTCGCTAGCAGCAGCAGCAAAGGCCCTATTTGCTGCTGCTGCAGCAAATCCCAGCCCTCACTCAGCACAAGCCGCCACTTGAGCTCTCCTGTAGCTGCATGTACACCTGAAACTGTTCCTGTTGGTGCAATAGTAACACTAGTTAAGTCTGTTGCTGCTGCTGCTGCTGCTGCTGGGGATCCTGCTGCTGCTGCTGGTGGGGGACCCAGCAGCAGCTGCTCCACTGGTCCAGCTGTCTGCAGCAGCCAGGCTTCAGCCCCCACGTGCTGTGCTGTTGCTGCTGGATGCTGCTGCTGCAGCAGCAGCAGCAGCAGCAACAGCAGCAGGAACAAAGGGCTCAGCAGCCGCTGCAGCTGCTGAGAGTGCAGCTGCTGCTGCAGCTGCCGCAGCATCGGTAGCTCAAAGAGAAAATTCTTCTGCTGCTGCTGCTACTGCTGCTGCTGCTGCTGCTGCTACCCCTTACGGGGGCTCAACGCGCTGCACACGGAAGCCAGGCGTTAAACCCTAAACCCTAAACCCTAAACCCTAAATACCGGGGTTGACGCCCTAAAAAACTGGAGAGAGATAAGGGAATAAGCTAAAGTGTGTATTTAGTGTTTAGGGTTTAGGGTTTAGGGTTTAGGGTTTAGGCTTTAAGGGCTGGGGGGCCACAGCCCCCTTTGTCTTGATCCGCTGTAAACCCTAAACCCTAAACCCTAAACCCTAATAGCAAACCCTAAACCCTAAACCCTAGATCCCAGACATTATTTAAGTCCCTAGGTCTCACAATTGTTCCACCTATTGCAGCTAACCCTAAACCCTAAACCCTAAACCCTAAACCCTAGCGCTGGCGCGTGCTGCTCTGTCTGCTGCCCTAGACAACCCCAAACCCTAATTAGGGTTTAGAGCTAATAAAACCCTTTTTTAGGGTTTAGGTCTCCTTAGGCCCTTGATGGCGGGTCCCCACAAGAGAGTCTAGGGTTTAGGGTTTAGGGTTTCTACTGTAAGCAAACCCTCGCTAGGGTTTAGAGCTAGAGAAAGCAAACCCTAACTAGGGTTTAGGGGGCGTCAAACCCCAAACTAGGGTTTAGGGTTTAGAGGCATCATATGAGCAAACACTAGCTAGGATTTGCTGCTGCTAGCGCTTCACTCGTTAGGGTTTAGTGTCCCTAGCAACAGCAGCAAAACAGCAGCAGCAGCTGCTGCAGCAGGTACGCCTCCCTTTGCTGTTAACCTCAGGTAGCTTCAGTCTACAGCAGCAGCAGTAGCAGCAGCAGTAGCAGCAGCAGCAGCAGCAGCACGAGCTGGTGCTGCCGTGGCTCTCGGTTTGTCTTCGCTGCTGCTATGTGTCTCCTATATATATATATATATATATATATATAAACGTATATATATATACTTTAGTATTTGTTTTGTTGTCTGCTTTCTTTTCTGTCTCTGTCTCTAACTGCATTATAATAAACTCTAAAAAAGTGTGAGGTGTACATACAGCTGAATAATAAATAATAATAAATAAATAATAAATAATAATAAATAATAATAAATAATAACTACTAATAAATATTAATAAATATTAATAAATATTAAAGCAGCTGACTTTCTCTGTCTTTTACCCACAGTGCGGAGACAGAGAGACAAATTCATAGTATATTATATATATATATATATATA